GAGGAGTTCCAATAAAATGTTTGATTATGGAATAAACAAGAGTAGTAAAACAATCACAAATTGTATTACCATTTTTAATTTTGACCGACTGAAGAATTTCTTGTCGATTTTCTTCAAAAAGATAATTAATCCACCATTCTTTGAGTTGACAAGTAAACCCAACAATAAGATTATTGCAGACAGTAAGAGTATCTATATTTCTGCTAGTATAAGCAACCATACAGACAAACATTTTTTCTATAGTTTGAATGATTTGAAACTCAGTCATACGGTCGATATTCCATTCAATGATATCGCTATCGGAATAAGTCTCAGAAAATTGTTGAAGTGATTTTTCTTCAAGCAGAAGATGAGGATGAGACGGTCTTGGATAAAAAGTTGGAAGATTTGAAGATTTGAAATTTTTTAATTTATTAATTTTAAATGGTTCTTCTTCAATAAATTGATTTTCAAGATTTTCAACAAAATCAATAGTATTGATATTTTTTTGAAAGAGAACTTGATTTTGAAAATTGTTTGGTAAGTTCTTCAAGAATTTTTGAATCTGAATTTAAATCTTTTCCCAATTTTGGAGAAAGACTTGGTTCAATAGGTTTAAAAAAAAAGTTGAACATGTTTTTTTTCTTCGGCTTTTGATTTTGAAATTTCTCTAAAATTTGTTTTCAAATTCTCAAGTTTATTTGAATTCTTTTCATTCTTAGCTGAGTAACTTTCAATTCTAAAAAGTTGAGAACAGAATTTAAAACAATATTTGTAAAATTATTTTGTAATTGAATATTTTTTATATCATTCACTTTTCCAGGACTGTTTCCACTTCTTTCTTCAGAAACTTGTTTGAAAGGAGAAGCGGTAACTTCAGTTGATACATGAGGAAAGATAATTTCTTATAAAGGAGGATGTTCAGATTGAACAATTTCTTTTGAAGAAAGAGTCCAAGTCTTTTTTGAACGATTTGTTTGAATTGAATGAGCTTCAGAAATTTTTTTTCCAAAAACTTTAAAATTAACCTATTCATAAAAACTTTTATCTTCTGGAAAATCAAAAAATTCTTCCCAGTAAGTTTCAAGTTCTTCTTTTGAAAACATTTGACGAAGGTTTCTCCTAAAAGCTTTAACAGCAGGAGTTTGATCATTTTTGAATTCAATTCTTCTGTCAATTGTAGAAGAAATTACATTGAGTTGTCTTGAAAGTTTCTCATTTGAAGGTGGTAATATATCAGATTCTGTAGGAGATTCTGGATCGGAAGAATATCCAAATTCTTCTTTAGAATATTGAGGCTTAGGGATTTCAGGCTTAAAATTAACATTGCTAAGCTTAGAAAAGGAATTTCTTCTTCTTTGAAGAGGAATTTCAGAAGATTCTTCTGATTCATAAGAAGTCCTAGATGAATTAGATCTAGTTAGTTTTTCAAAACTAGCTGAAAAACTTCCGTCAGGAAAATAAGTAATTCTTTGAGGATTGTTTCGAATAGGATTTTAAATTGGATTTTGAACATCATGAAAGTACCATGATAC